CGGAAGGATGGAAGGCTGAGTCAACCCTGAGCCAGTGAGATTTGAACAGTCGAACTGCAGAACTGCAGTCAGCTGAAGTAGCCTGCAGTGCTGCACTCTACCCACTGCGCCACCTCGGCTCTCTAATAATCCCGATCAGGGTTGAAAAATGTTTGCAACTGGTTCTCTGCCCGCTTGCTGGATGTGTATGGCCTACTCGGCCTCCTACACCACGGCTGGTGGTGTGTGTTATCGCCCTTTCCAGGCTGCAGAGGCTTTCCTTGAGCCTCCGGGAAGGCAAAAACAACATCCCCCAGGCTCCGGAAGCCCGTGTTTTGCTCTCCCAGAGTCTTTGTGAGGGCTCTGTATTTACCTGGCATGATGAATGGGTACCCTGGAGACTCAGGGAAGGGGAGGGGTTGGGTGGGGCCAGCTGGTCCTTGCAACAACCGGTTTGGCGAACCAGATGCAAAATTAACATCCGGTTTGCCTGAACCAGTGCGAACCGTCTGAATCCCACTCCTGATCCCGATTCCTTCCTGCTTAGACGCGCGTCGCTGCTTCTCAGCTCCAAGCCCAGAGCCAGATCCCGGGTCAGACGCCTCAAGCAGCCCAAGTGGCTTTGGCCAAGCCGCCTGTGATGTCCGTCCCGGTGGTGTCGTCGGCAGGGGTGACCGCCCTCCCCGTGACCGTCTCCGGAATCAGCGTGGCGATTGGGCAGCCCCAGAAAGCAGCAGGTATTTGGGTCGGAAAGGATTCGGGTGGAAAACGGGGCTGGGGTTGATTTTGGTTTAGCTGAATCATTTGTCCATCCGATTTCTGTAGCCGCCCAGTCGATGAATCTGGGTGGCTTGCTGAGTAATCCTCCGCTTACAACCATTCGTTTAGCGGCCGTTCAAAGTTAAAACAGGCCCGAAGAAAGGGACTTATTGTGACGTCTCTTCTTTGCACCCTGAGCAGGAGGGCAGGCAGTGATGGCTCAGCCGCTCCACGTGCAACAGTTTTTGAAGGTGAAACAAGCTCAGCACCACCAGGCAGCCCAGCAGAAGATCATCCAGCCCCAGGTGGCCCAAGGACAGGCAGGTGTTCAACAGAAGGTCAGTCTCCCTCCTCCTCCTCCTCCTCAAAAGACTTTTTCCTTCCAGCACTGACTGATGATGTTACGTAGTTGGGTCATTAAACGTCTGCAAGAAAATTGCCAAGCTCAGAGAGCACCAAAGACCCCACAGTTGTCATGGTCATTCTCTTCCTCCTCTCTACAAGCCCATTCCTCTTCCTCTTCACAAACCCCATCCTTCCTTCCTTCCTTCCTTCCTTCCTTCCTTCCTTCCTTCCTCCCTCCTCCTTTTCCTCCTCTCCACAAACCCCATCCTTCCTCCCTTCCTTCCTTCTCCTTTTCCTCCTCTCCACAAACCCCA